ATATATACACATATATATATAGATATATAGATATCTACTAATTAAATTTATGAATTTATTTCATTATCTTATCTAAAGGATATTAGGTAAATAGAATGGTATGTTAGGATTAGGACTCCAACTAACGATTATTTTGCAAATCGATTAATCTGTCCACAGTTTTTTCAATTAATCAATTAATAATCCAATAGGAAAAAGAATTCTTAAAGAAGATTATTTACAAAAATAAACCAGGGGGAACTAAAATTTTCCAATTAAGGAGTTCTGGATCCCGCAGATCGACAGACAAAACTTTCCTTTATCTTAATTGCAAAAAACTTTACATATTTTTTACAATTTGGATAGAGTTCCTGCTCTAAGATTGTTGCTCTGTCAGCTAAATGTACATTTTAGAGTCTCTATACTCCAGTTAATGCTTAATCAATCACTAAATTAGTTGATGATTATCTTAATTATCGAATAATCGGATTAATTGTTTCAGCACTAGTTAGGGTGATTTTGTGGTTTTAAAAATGTAACTTTTTCACTTCTAGTTTACTTAGTTTATGTTGTCAGATGAACAAACTAAAATACTCGAGTTTAGCTTTGAAAGTTTATATGAAGAGGTCTAGCACATTGTGAGGAAAATGAGTATAACAGAATGTCTCAGAATTATACACAAATAGAGACTATGACAGCTTAAAACGTAACATATATGCATTTAAATGCTGCTGCATAGCATCTCACCTCCGCACTCTGACATGTTTCGAGCTCCGACCACTTTGGTCACTTCCCTCCCTTGAGGAGCAGGACAGGCTTCACAGGACATCTGTCCCTCCTCGTCCTGGTACGTTCCGGCAGGGCAGGTTACGCAGTGCCCCTGATCACTATCATAGTATGTCCCAACACCGCAGCTCACTGACAGATCCAATCAAAAACACATCAACGCTTCATTACGTTCATTTTTCCAAACACAAAAATGAAACAAAATAAAACCAAATCTGAAATCATGGCAATAAAACACATGATCATAACAACCTGCAAAAAACTTCAGATAAGAAACCCTAAACATAAGGTTATGTCTGTGCTTGTAGTGCTCATAAATTATCAAACTCACACATTAAAGATAGAATAACACTCTGCCCCCTGGCTCAACATTGTCAAACGTTTCTTACCACAACATAGGAACAACAAATACAGCTGTAAGCATGGATGACGAGACCAATAGAAAAAAGCGATGAGGGCCAGGTGCATACTTAAAAAGAATAAACACAGCGAAGAGCTTCAAGTGTAATGTTTAAATATTAACACATCAAAGGTATTTTTGGAGCCTTATTTGTTTTAGTTCTGTTTAAACACACATTATATAGATAAAAAACATATAAATCAATAATACTGGGAAAAGCATAATTATTACCAGGGTAATTCAGATACTGTTGCTGAATATTGCCATTCCTGATCTTTAACAGTTTTCCCATTTATACCATAAATGAGGGCATAAATAAGTCTATGCAAATAAGTAAAACTATCATAAGGAAGCAGGATTAAAATTACTGATCCAAGCTGTTCTTTTAGAACATCATTATGGTAAACATAAATCTTACAAAGATGACTATAATTTGATTTATTGTGCAGCTCTATTAATCACTCAACAATAATTATATTAAAGAAAACTTTACAATCTTCCCTTATGCATCATACTTTCAGCTTTAACTGCATATATTTCTGTTATATTTCTATGCTTAATATCCAAATTAATTGTTTTAGATTAGCTGGCCTTTTTGTTTTGGTTAACAGGGAATCTGCCTCCTGTGTCTGAAACTAGAGAACTAACATTTTCTAATCTTTGCCACTATAAGGAAAAACACAAGGATGTTTGATACATTTCCAACCAAAAGGTTAGGAAATAAAACAAAGTGCCGTTTAGGGCATCTAACGGCGATTTATATGGAATTCAATACGGACACTTGAAGTGAACAGATTGTGCACAGAGTATCCAAATTTATGTGTTCAGATGCCTTTTAAAAAGCCTGGTTTAAAGGCAGATGTAAGACAAAGGCTACCAGCCTCTTTAGAACCACGCTCCCAAAGCTCGATGCAAAGAAGGTTTGGCCGTGCATTAAGGAGGAACTTTTAATGCCAACGTAAGCACCCTCACCTCTTTTAAAGCCAACCCAGCGGAAAATCAAAGAAGGGGGGGTATTTCCCTCTTACTTCACACAAGTGCAAAGGCTTGATTACAGGGACCAAAACACCTTTTTTGCAGTTCCTCCCCCTTAGAGCAATGTCTTTAATTAATTTGTGAATTACTGTGTCTACTTGATAGTTTAAAGAGCTTTTAAAAAAAAGGCAGAAGCTGATCTAAAACAAGAATAAATCATCTAAATCCCTGTCTGCGGAGATAAACGTGTCTCAAAGATGCAGCCCTTAAAGCTGCAGGAAGGCTCAGCAAACATCTGCTTGAGTGGACCTCCATTGTACTCAACAAAGTGTTAGATTTTCCTCTAAAAAGGGGGAAAATGTAATTCTATCAAGAGCAGTTCATTTTTGAGGGCCATTGTTTACTCTGAAAGACCATGAGGAGCCATCACTGCATTGTCCTATAACAGCTTTTATTTGACAGAGGGAAACAGTGAGGGAAGAAGAGTGAGTTGGGGTGAAAGAGAGAGAGAGAGAGAAAAAAACCTTGAAGCCTTTCAAATGCAAAGAACAGCTCTATAGAGTCCTCGAATTGATGGCCCTCAAAGAGGTTTAAAAGACCTTTCACCTCTATTCAACGCCCCGCTTCTTGCCCACTTGATGACATAGGAAAACAGCGGTATCACAGCGGTGAGGAGCTGAACCCAATAAAAGGGGTCAGGTTTTCTGAATCCTCCCTATTCGCCTTGGCCCAATCGCTGCTCGCGCCCATCAAGCAAAGGCGCAAACAGCTGATGCTAATTGATTCCCATGGTGTGGCTGAAGTCAGTTCTTTTTAGCTGTTTAGTGGCTGGGGGTCATGCAAAGTGGCCCCAGCTGGGCGGGAGGAAGGGAGGGAGGGAGGTGGTTGTTGGTGAGGGGACTCAATTCACAGCAGAGCTCGGATCACCGGCTCTTCCTCAACATCTCAAAACAGCCGATGCTGATACTTCTTTTACAAACAACACTTTCTTCTGGTATTTAAGCCAAAAAGAAAACAAGAGGTATCAACATAATTTTCTGTCTAAATTCACAAAAACCTGCACGTTTTGTTTTCTTTTCTTCTAAAAAAAAAAAAAAAACGCAAGTTCCAATGTTTTTTTTCCCCCCTTAATGGAGCAGCCAAACTGAGAAGGAGTAAAACTGCACTCAGTGCTAAGCCAATGTGGGAAGTGGGGGAAGGAACGAAAAATATAGCTCCTTTAAAGAGCTGGAGGTAAAAAAGAATGCCTTACTGAACCCCTCCTTTTCCCCTCACCCAAATTAAATGTCTACAGCCCTGCCATGGCCGGCGGACTGCTTTATGTCGATCTGTGAGTGCTGGCAGGGGCACTTTAGACAACAACATGTTTGATGTTTATTGAACAGGAGCATTAAGACTATAATCAAGTGTCCCTGATGAATCTTAGAGTACAGGAAGGTCATAATGAAGCAAAAACCAACAGAGACACTTTTCAGGGTTGTCATAGTAAGATCTAGGACTACACCCCTCATGGTCCGAATCTTACACAAAGAAAGATCTGTTTGAATAAATATTTAGAAGACAGGCTCTAGTTTCCCGAGAAAATGTTTCACCACCAAAGGAACTCAATGTGAGGCCTGAAAACAGGGGCGTACAGTAACAGCAGCCAGGAAAAACATAGTCCAGCTCATGGCTCTTCTCTTAACAGCATGCGGTCGCCACAAACCAATTTTTTTTCTCCATCACAGGTTGTATATAAAAACCTGACTGAAAGGCGCAACAGCTACCTGGAGAGCCATCAACGCTGCACCTTTAATCCCAGGAAGAGATGCTCAGTTCCTTCAATAGAAACACGTTCTCACTAATGCACTTCAGCTTGCTCATTACAACACATTGGTAAACCTAATATGGCACTCATCTGGGAAAATCCTGCAAAAATGCATTATTAAAACTACTTTCTAAATATATCCCCTGGGTATGAAGCTGTGGCTCTACTGTGTGCATGCATAGTGAGAACTCTGAGTCAACCTGATGTTTCTAACAGTTACTGTTAAACATGAAATAAATCCTACTCACCACATTTTCTGCCCACCAACACTTGACCTGCAAGACAGTGCCCAGGCAGTACTGGCAGTTGGCCTGGATTCCTGGACAGGTCGTAATCTGCCCCGGCGAAGTGAAGGTGAAACTGCTCCCGGTTGATGGACTTCCTCAGGGTCCTGATGGTCTTCCTCAGTCTCTTCTCAGAGCGTCGACGCACGCAGTTCAGGTCGCAACTCTCTGCTGAGAGAAGCACTTGATACCACAACTGTTTGCAAGAGACAATGTCATCCTAAAACCCTATAATACCTTTGTTTCCATGTCATGCTTTCCCCACACACAAAAAACACCTACAGACACCAAAGAAAGTAATGAAGGAAACCAAACATAAAGCCTTGAACGTCTTACACCCAGAGTCAAGCCAAAACAGGAGATACTTTAAGAGCTTTAGGTCTGTTTTAGTGACAGACAGCCGGAAAGGGAGTCAGATGAAGGGTAAGAGGCAAAGGTGGCACGCCAGCAGGCAGGAAGCACAGAGAGACCAACCTGTTACCTCCTCTAGGTTAATATCCAGCTCAAACTCAGCCGTGATGGCGAAGCCATCATCCTCCCCGGCCTTCCTGCTATGACGGCTGCGCGTTCGCTGGCCCAGCGAGGTGCAGCGAAGGCTCACGTAGCTGAACTGGACGTTTTCAGTGAAGAAAAAGCTGAAATCTGCAAACATTTGCAACCAGTAGTTATTAACTGTAAAGCACATTATTAAATCTTTAAGCAGAAACTGAGACGTCTTTGAAATATTGTTTGTGAAACAATTGAGCTTCCTTTTAGTAAAGACTTGAAAAGACTGAAACCCCCATTAGAGAAGGCAAATAATCCTACAATCAAGGAGTGACTTGATTGATGGCTGGGTGAACCCCAACTAAAAGGCATGCAGTGGCTAATTACATCCTCCCCTGCCACTGCCAGACAAAGTGCTGCCCTGAGACTTTAAAACCCACACCACAAATGTCTTTCACATTTGCCCCTGGTTTTTGGTTTCTTTGAAGCAGCTTTCAGGTCTGCTTTATCTTCTTTAGATGTTGGCAGCCCTCAGTAAACCCTAAAGGTTTCTAACCTGCAGCACGTAAAGGAGCTGTAATTCCAGTCATGACTTTCTGTCATCTCGTGTTTGGACGGATTGCTGGGCCAACCTCAGTACCTGAGTGAGCAGTGTTGAATCTCTCCCAGAGTTTCTCCTGACTTCGCTTGAGGTTGCACTTGGCCGTGCCAGACTTGAAAGTGGCTGTGGTTTTAATTCGCTGCACTCTGGTTTTTTCTGGACCTAGAGGACAGAGCGACAGGAAGCCCGGTCATTCCGATGGGTCAATGCCTCGACGAAAACAACAAGTCCGACGTTTCCCAGGTGAAGATGTTTGTGTGATGGAGGAGGGAAATCTGTGAGGTTTTGTACTTGCCTAAGCAATGAGATCCACTGTTGGTCTTTTGTATGCCAGCCAAGCAGGGCAGAGGCATTCCACAGGTCACCGTGTAGGAATCCTCCGTCCCTGAAAACACACAAGAGAGCATGACACACAGGCCGGGGCTGACAAAAGTCAGGGCCACAAAAGCCGAGCCGGAGAGCAAAGAGGAAGCATGTAGTAACATGACTAGTCCGCTCCATAGACTAAAGCTGACAACTGTTCACACAGCTCGATCTTAAAGCACTCGACTTAAGCCCCTTTTCAGACAGCAGATTCACAACATTGATGGCTTCATCAATCAGTTAAAGCTACGGCATTCAGTCACTTTTATGTTAATGTTTCCTATGGTTTCATTGGAGCTTACTAACAACAGTTATGGAGAGAGGAGGGGTAGGGACGTGATTTTGGTCTTGAAGCGTTTGCCAAAAGTCTAACAAAGACGGAGTTTACATACAACAGCTTTCGATGTTGCCATAACAGCTCATATTATCCTACCGAATGTTATCGGTTTCTCATCATCTCAATGGTTGATGACAACTGATGAAAATATTCTTATATTTACTTTCCTTCCTATATTTCTAAGCCTGCTAAAAACCTGGTATAATAACGGATTTTAGCTTTAAGTACAGATTCATGTTTCAGATCAACAAACGAATTAAATTATCAGACAAATATTGCCTTAGCAAACAGTTGATTTCTTTATTAATCAGATTAAATATTAAATTAGCCCAAAACGTCAAACTACCACTAACATGCTAGACAGCAGGTAATACTACAGGTATATAGCATGACAAAAGTTTCTGTTATTTGTTTTATTTTATCAGAGGTTTGGTAAATAATCAAGATGCTCTTTGTTTTTTGCTTTTTTTATTTATGTGGGACGTTATTTATGCTGTTTTTGGTCAGCAGAGGTTTGTACCTTTCAACTTTCGCTCAGATAAAGGGTTTTTCACAGTCTCCTTTTAATCATGGCATCATTAACACTGACATAAACTAAGGCAAGGGTTGGTTAGCAGGGCTTTAGATGTTGCTTTGTTTCCTTTTTTAAAGGATGATCCATCAGTGTACCATTGATGTCGATAAACTTTCGGAATTTCTTCATCTTTTTTTTTTTTTTCCGTTTGTGGAAAATGGCCTCAGTGTAGTTCACTGCATTCTCAGCTATCTTCAAAGTGATCAATGTTAGTGGCACTGTCTCTCATAAATTATTTAACATCTTAAGGGCTGAACACACCAGTTGCATACCATTGTTTAATCTCCGATCTGATGCTTTCCCGATGTCACACTGACTGCTTATAGAGAGGCTCTGGCTAGGCAGGGTGAGCAGTTCTGTGCAGATTTTTTTCCACCTCCGACTCTGTGCTTTACACTAATTAAACAATTTCCCACTTTTGACTTGAACACATTATGAAAAGTTATAAAAAAAAAAATATATAAAAATAAAAAACAAAGCCCCACTTAACGAGTATCTGCAGCATCTCAAACCAGAACAGATAGAGAACGCTGATGTGCTTATATTAACAACATGAGAACTAAGTCTAAAGAAAAGAAAAACACAGAAATAAATGCTGTGGGACGCTTTAAATGCCGACTGACGAAGTGAGAGGTGATTCTCAGGGAGAGATCTGTTAAGATTGTCAATTTGTTTTTTTCATAGAGGTGACTATAACTATGACTAGGTCACTATTTTACTATATCCATTTTTTTTTCTTTTTGAGGAGAATGATAAACTGTGCCTTCTGTCCTTCATTTTTGTGCGGCTCAAAGAGGATCACTACTTTATCTGTTTTCTGTCCTCCTGAATTCCTATCATGGGTAAAGTATTTTTTATGTTTCATTAATTGTTTTTGCATGAGTATGTCCCGGTTGGTATATGTGCTACTTTAAAACTGACTTTTTCCCCTTGCGATTAACAAATTTTCTATTATATTTTCCCCCAAAGCTGATGTGTTTTACTTTGTAACTGCATCTCTCTTCATGAAATTGCCAATAAATTGCTGCATAGACTAAAATAGACCTGAGGTCTATCTCAGTCAGACCTACGCAAGCCCCCTCGGAGAAAATTGTGTCATAGTTTATTCCTCCCCACTGACTTTCAATGAGAACTAAATGCCACAACCTCGTCCGACAAGATTTTCTGCCGAATCAAACGCAAAATCGTATTCAGTGTTTTCTGGCCTTTAAGATCGGGATGTGAAGAGACTTTTGAGAATTATAGGCCTACTTCATGTTGTCCGACAGAACTATCAAAGTGACATATTCATTTTACAAATAGGATGAACAATAACTAAAGCAACATATGTTTCTAGATGTAACATTAGCAATATTATATATGGACAGGATTCCCAAAAATAAAGCATTACAATGAATAAGTGAGTGTCCAATTTCACAGCTGGAGCTGACTTGATGCTATTTTGTGCATGTGAGCTTGTTTACTGAGGAGTCAGAGGGCATACGTTTTTTCTACTTTTCATTTTAATTAGTGATTGAATAAATGTTGAAATTTTACTATCTACAAATCAAATAAAATGTTTATATCAACACAAACTAAAACTTTTATCACATATCTATGTATCATCTTACATATTATTTATTTAGTTCTGTCTTTTTTTTAAAAACGAAAAAAAAAAAACACAAAATTATTTCTTTTATACAATTTCAAGCTTAAAATTCTTTGGGCTCATCACAAGAATCAAGTCGACCCCGCATACCTAAAATGGTTTCATTAGAATAAATGCATCTGAGCAAATATGGAGAAAACCTAAATATATATGAAGTTCTACTTTAATTCCTAAATCTTAGCCGTAAATAAACTTAGACATGAACAAAGAGATAATTGTTCTGCAGTTGGAAGGAAACGATAATAAAAGCAGATAAGAAGAGACCTTGTTTAACTTACCACTACTGATATGAACTTGGGACTGGCAGTTTAGAAAGCAGCGATCCCCTCCATGCTGCTTACTACAATTCAAGGTAGGCTTAGAGGGAAGGTTTGCTGGTGTTAAACCCTCAGCCTCTGGATAAAGACCACAACAATACTTAAAGGTATAAAAAAGTTATTTTTGATTTCCAAACAGAAGATAGAAGGCACATTATGCATGCATGTTTGCAAAACTGCTTTTTTTTTTATTCAAGCATGAGAAAAAAAAAAAACAAGTGAAAGAAAACTAAAGAGAAAAAAAGAGAAACATTTCAAAGTATCTCCTGTTTTTGTTCCCGCATTTTCTTCCAAATCGTGAAACATGAACACATCAAAGCAGCGACAAAAAAAGAAATAAATAAAAAGAGGGTTTAACTTACTGATGCAGTCCTTTTTGTTCCAGTGTAGCTTATACCCCGGGTGGCAAAAACACTCATATCCACCCACGGTGTTCTCACATCCCTGCTCACAGCCTCCGTTGTTTACACTGCATTCATTTATATCTGCCATGAAAAGGTGGATTTTTTATAAAGTTGATATGTGCAAAATAAATGTAAAGCTTCTCTAGAGAGGTTCTTCTCACCTCCACAATGGGCCAACCCGTACAAGGTGTAGCCTTTGTTGCACAGACACTGGAAACTGCCAGGGGAGTTCACACATGTGTGATCGCACGTGCGCTCAAAATAACACTCATCTATATCTGTAATCAAAATCACACCGATGACATCATTGCAGAGCAGTCAGTCATCACCTTCCCCTCAAGGAATTTTCCCTTTATTTATGGCAGAGATATGTGACAAGTGTTGCATCTAGTGAAATAATTGGATTTCAATGGGAGCTGAATAGCAATATGCAAATGATATCTTTTGTTTTGTTTTTTTCACATTTTAATCAAATTATTTTACCCTGACAGGAACGTTCATCAGACAGCAGCTTAAATCCTTTCCTGCAGTTGCATTCGAAGCTCCCGACGGTGTTCTTGCAGAAGTGTTCACAGCCGCCGTTGTGAATCTCGCACTCGTCCATATCTGTGAGGAACGGGTTTCTGGTCAGATTTCAGTGAAAAAAAAGAAAGAAGAAATCTTTCACCGACATACCCAAATCAGTGTGTTGCTACACTTTGTAAAAAGGTGTTGTTAGGGAGGCAGTGGCTCTGACCTTTGCATGATTTTCCATCTGGCTGCAGCGTGAAGCCGTCGGGACAGCTGCAGCGCACGCCAGTGGATGTGTCCTTACAGGTGGAGTCGCAGCCCCCATTGTTAAGTGCGCAGGTTTCTAAAAATTACAACCCAAACGTGTGACTGTCAGCTGGGTCAGAAGGTGTCGCTTTGTTTTTCATTGACTGATAAAACTTTAATACCAGCACAGAAGCTTTTTTTTTGGTATCCTTTGTTACTAATCTGACCTTTCAACACTTGAAACTTTTAAACTTATTAACTATTTAGATGTTTTTTTATCAAAATAAAATAGTCTTTATAATGTGATTAGTGCAATGCCCTTTTGTTCCTATTAACAAACAGAAACCGCTGCAAAACAGAGTGCAGCTCTCAGACCTCCTGTGCTTGTTGCTATTTATACTAAAGTGCTAAAAAGAAGCCGTGCTTTTGTTACGCGTTCTACAAGCCTGAATTACACAACCATCAAAAATAAACTCAGCCAGGAAATATTCAAACGCTGCCCTTCTCAAATGGAAGGAAAATGTGAAATTTACCACACTGTCACAAGTGCATATATTACAGGAGGGAGAGTTAAGGCCAGGCCAGTCATTTCACAGTTTGCTCTAAAGACTGAGGAATGTATCGGTGTACTAGACATTGCTCGCCTTCCCACCCAAGCCAATTTCAAGCTGTCAGCCTGTGAGGGGTGTAGCTGTTACCCATCGACAATCTTCTCTTGACCCGTTTGTCCGCCTCGGTAGAGGACGTGGCGTTGTGGTCCGAGGACTCAGCGGTGGCTTCATCTCGCTCTATGTAACACACACAAAACCAGTCATCAATAGAGCAGGTATGGCCAAAAAAACAGTCCCCTCCATCTTTTTCCGGTTTTCACACAGCCCTGCAACCTGACTAGAAACTTCAACTCTGCGAGTTTGCATTGCCTTTAAGGAACCAGCAGCCTTTTGACAAACTCTGCTTGCGGTGGCTTGGTGTGTCAAATATTACAGCAGATTTGGATCTGCAGGAAAAAATATGACATTTACACGCATGGACCTCACACACACGGCTGCCTGAAGTAGAGAGATAACTCACTCGATGATTCTTATCCATAAACGGACGAAAGAAAAAACTCAAAATGTTCTGAAAACATTCATCGAGATAAAATCAAATGAATAGAAACAATCGAAATCCTCCAATTTAGTTACATTCATACCAGAAACGCTGTCTGTGTTTGTCAGACTTGCTGGAATTCTATAGTTATTGAATAACTTTACTAGTTAAAAACATATATTTTTATTTAAACTTACTAAAATGTATATTTGTTTAAGTAGAAATATGATACAAGTATATATATACTATATACTATACTATTGTTTTAACAGTGGAAAACTGATCAGAAGTAAGATGCTCCCTATTCTCTCTCCACAGCTATAAATATGGGATTTAAACATTTAGTTATTCATCTCCACAATGTTTTTTAATTACAAACACATTATCAATAGCAAATCAGACGTGAGATGCTTTCTTTTCTGTCCTTATGGCCATATGCACTAATGAATGCAGAAGTTTTTTATCAAATATCCCTTCATTACACATTTTATTAAAGATATGGGTGATTTGGATATGTTTTAAGTGCTGGGAAAGACGGCACACCTTAAGCTGTATGTTGTCTCTGTGACAGCAAACATGAGTGAATGTGCAAGTTGCTGTTATTATTGCCAAATATTTTGAGAAGGTTAGCAGGATGAATATACCCAGTTTTTTCCTCATTAATTTATTTCTTATCTATTGGCTCCATCTTTCCATCTCTCTGTTCCCTTCAGCATATCAAGAGACATTTTCCCTATCAGATGTGGCACTGACTATAGCGAGGCTTCCTCTAACAGACCCAATGTTTTACTGGCACATAAAGTGGAAATTCCAACTGTAATTACTATCATGGCAACAAATGCACCATTCTGAAAACACAATGACATTGTCATTGCAATATAATTGCAATAAAGTCTGTTTTGTTTTTTTTCAAGACACACCTTTCAATTTCATTTACATCATAATTTAACTTACAAAAGTAAGTTTTGAAAGAAAAATGAACACAAATTCCAACATGTCTTGACGTTCATGCTTAAGTTCTTTCAATAGATTAGTTCACTTTTATCAAATATCAAGGTTTCCTGTCTTTAAGAGTCTGCTTACCCACACACGTCTTCTTGTCAGGCTGCAAGGTGTATCTGATGTGGCACCTGCAAATGGGACCATCCTCCGTGTCCTCGCATGTGTGCTGGCAACCTCCGTTGCCGTGGTTACAGGTCACTGCAGTGAAGGTTGGACAGTTTGGACGTGAATCAAAACATTACGGTGTATGCGTGTGTTGCTTAGTGAGTAGCTTGTACTAACAAATGCAGTCTCTCTGGTTTCTGGCCAGCTCAAAGCCTGGACGACACTCGCAGGCCACGCCCCCTCTGTGACTCTCTTTGCAGATGTGGGCGCAGCCGTGCTCCTTATTCATACAGTTGAGGCCCTCTGGGAGAGAAAGTGGGAGTGAGAGGTACACAATGAAACTCTCCTGCAGTGAGCGACCAGCTAAATACAAAAGGCACACATACTGGGAGATTAGTCCAGCATCCTCAAAGACATTTATTGTTCTCTAAGCTTTGCACAACCTAAAAACATCCAACAGCTTGATGTTTTTTTTTAACCTTCATTTATGCAGGAAAAGGAAATATCTGCAAATCTTTTTTCCTTTTTTTTTTTTTTTTTGCATGTAAATAAAACAGCAATCTGCTTGCTGCACAGAACCCACTTGATGCCTCTTTAAGCCTAAAGCTAAGAGGAGGTGCTGCACCATTTATATAGATGGGTCACAGCTGAGTGATCAGGTCTGCAGGATTTACAAAGCCTGTCAAGAGCCAATGGAGTGGAAAGTACTTGCATTTAAGTTGACTCCAGTCAAGCTGACAAAACAAAGGCACTTCAGACTAATCTGTGACACACACCACATAGGCCGGAGTGTTGCAGATATTAACTCATTTTGTCCTTTGAGACACAGAGGATCTTTTCCCACAGAATGCTGCAATAAAGAGGCGGTTTGAATGCCACCTTTCCTTACAACACAAACCCATCACAGAGGCAGAGGTTATTTTCTGTCCATATAAAACCTAAAAAGTTCCTGCAACTCAGTTTTAAATCTGTAAATGAGCTGGGACGGGACAAATTGTAAAAGATGTAAACTCACCGACAGAGCGGTGGATGCATGTGTGCTGGTTGTCGCTGAGGAAGAAGCCCTCTTTGCAGCGGCACTCGTAGCTACCCACAGTGTTGACACAAGTGTGTTGGCACCCACCATTATTGAACATGCATTCATCCACATCTAAGGGACAGAGGCAAGGCTGTGTTAAAAAAAAAACACTTTACAGTCTTTCAAGAGAAGATTTGTTTTCATCACAAACATTATGCACTATATAAATCCAGGTTTGGATGTTATAAACACTGCAGATGAGGCTAATGCATTTTAAATGACTCTGAGAGACTTCAAAACACCGCCCACACAAACATGCATTCCTCAAAGATCAGATTAGATGAGGCAGGGCTCCCTGTCACAGAATGTGGATCTTACCCAGGCAGTTGTGTCCATCATTGGCCAGATTGAATCCATCATAACAAGTGCAGCGGTAGTTTCCTGGTATGTTGTTGCACTCATGCACACAACCACCATTGTACTCCAGGTCACATTCATCAATATCTGAGGGGTAAAAGTCACATAATACATGCTTACCAACAGGTTATAGGAGGAAGTCTATAGAAAAGTATAGAAAACTTACCATCACACTGTTTCCCATCTCCTTTAAAGCCTCCTTTACATGTGCACTTATATGAGTCTTGGGTAGTCTGACAAATAGCATCAATGTGACAGCCATCACTTCCCTCTGCGCAGGGATCTGTTCAGTTTTACCAAAACACGTGGAAAGAAAAGGAGTCAGTATGTCATTAACAACAGCCTGGAGACTCTGTTATGTTTATGTTAGTAGCGGAAATGAGAATGAAAATATCTAACAGATAACCTCACGGATTTCTCAAACAATACCAAAACTTTTCTCTTTTTTTATGGAGTATAACAGGGTTTTAAAGACGTGCGTAAAATGCAGAGTTCTCCAAACAAAAAAAACCCCAAAACACATGCAAACACTCACTACAATCCCACCTCGAGTCTCTGGAAGCGCTATGCTTTGACGACTATTTAACAAGAGAAAAAACAAACAGAAGTCCCTCGCAGCCCAAATAGCTCCCATGGTGAGATAGGTGGAAGTTTTTAGAGATCTTCTCAAAAGGACGCGGGCGCAGTGAGGTCGCTGCGGAGCGTCCGTCTCATTTTCATTCTCGCCTGTCAATCCGCCTCACAGAGAGCCTGGGGAAGGAGAAAGGAGAGAGTGACTGGAAGTAGGAGGGAGAGAGAGAGAGAGAGAGAGAGAGAGAGAGAGAGAGAG